CTCTCTCTCTCTCAATATATATATATATATATTAATTTTAATTATAATTATATATATATTAATTAAGTCTGTATATTAAAAATAACAATTGAAAATTAAAAGTAAAAATTTTTTAAATTATGAAATCTTATTTGTAATGAAATATGTATTCTTAACATAAGAATCTTAAGTATCATATTCTTACCATACATTTCCGTCACAAACAACACTATTAAGCAATAATGGAATTAAATATTTAATTACTAAAAATATTCCATAATTACCAACAGTTATCATGACGTCTACTGTACATACCTTATGTGGTTTAGTCCCAAACTAAACCATCCGGTCTCATTATTACTGTAATAGTTTGGTCCAACCCATAGCACGTGGACGTAATGTTACTTCAAGTCAATTGAATTCCTTGATTTTCAAGGAAATAAGGAATTAGGCCAGAGTCAAGGCGGGGGTCGTTCGTTAAATATTCAATCGTAAATATGAGATACTGTTTTATTATAATATTAAATACTGTTGATAAATGTTTAGCATAACTTAATTGTAATTTGAGGGGTCAAATAATTTCCAAGGAATTTGTATAAAAATATAAAGGAATTTGAAAATTGAACCTGGTAACACTACAACTTATTTGCCTATATAAGAACGGCTACAATACTACTTTGCAGTTATAGATTATAAAGCATTAGAATAACGATAATTAAAATGCGTTCGGCTACAATTCTAGTAATTGTGGCCATATTGACCATCACTTATACGGTGGTGGCCGATCCAATTCGTATGTATCCATAACGACAATTTACAATTATAATTTACATTGTAATATAATTTACATTAATATTTTATTATGATTGCACATGGTATAGCTGAACCCGAACCCGCGCCATACGCTGACCCAAAGCCAGCACCTGAGCCCCACAATCCTCTAAATGTAGCGATTATGCCTCCTGGTCCAAATGCGAATGCCGTTCCCAATGACGCCCCCAACCAAGATCCAGGTCCATGACGTGGCTGTAATGACCCATACATTCCAACGCAAAACACAATTGACACATATTTTCCAGTAAAATATGTTAGATTTTAAAACAATCATGTTGATAATTCCGACAATAAAAGAATAAAATTTTAACTTTAACTAATTGTATATTAAATTTTATTTTAAACCATCACAAATTTTGCGTAAATGTATGCATTAAGGTGACCACATGCCCTCTGACATAGGTTTATCATGTATCGTTAGGGTTGCCAACTGTCCACTTAGAATTGATAAGCAAATAGTGTTCTTTTTAATTTTATATGTTTAATTTGCAGTAAAAAATATATATCCCTGACCCGTATTCACTCAACCCCTTACGACAGCTCTACCTAATATCGATAGGGTTCACCATTATGAAATAAATGTCTTGTATTGTGTAATATTCAGTGTAATAGCATTTCAATATCAAGAGTTCACACAATTATATGCAAACAAAAGATAATTAAGTGCTATATTCAAGTATTAATTCAAATACTTTTTACCAGTTATTGATTTGATCAATTGTTTTTTCTCATTTAATTATATAATACTTTATACTTTCAATCATTTCATTGTTTAAATTATAAAATATCTCAAAGAATATCATTAAGTAAAATATTGAATAACTTTTTAAAGTCTGGAATATTTATTAATAACTTTTTCAAACTTGTGAATTAGATAAGAATAAATAAATATAAAACTAGTTAATAATGACTCATTATTAATGAGAAAATTGCAAATCATTTATGTTTGATGTTATGATTAAAACACTGGTCAAAGAAGTCAACCATTCGTGTATACATGTGTGCCATTGATTGCTGCAAACCGTGTCTCTGATCGGGATATACCTGTGTTTGGTATTTCACATTCGCCTCATTCATAGCCTTCAAAAGCATCATCGCTTGAATGTTGTGTGTAATGACTGCCAATGATTGTACGGATAATTGCATATAAGTTACAGAATTAGTAATAAATAAAAAACAATGAAAATAAAAGTTGCATATATAGTGCATTTGCATACCGTCTGCGGTGCCAAATACTAGCAAAAACTGTTTGCCATTCAAACGCTTCACGTTATCCAATGTCGACGACAAACGATAGTTTTGCAGATTGTCTTCAGGTGTGGGGAAACCCATATGTCGTTCAGTATATACAGAGTCTGAGATGAATCAGACATTTGTTTATTATATTAAATATTAAATAATAAATTGATTTCAATGTATACAAACCCGTATACATCCAATCGGTCGCCGGCGCCACCGCTACACCACAGCTGAATACAGGGTCGTTGTAATCGTCTTGCAATGCCTTTGTGTAGTGTTTGGCAAATTAACCCTAGGGTTAGCCTTTGATCAGGGTTAACCCTAGGGTCAAAATTAATTTTTTCAGAAGGTCAAAGTGAATGTCAAAACATAGGTTAACCTTTTGACGTCATTGTTGTTAAAGTAACAATTGATATTTTAAACTATAAATAAGAACATTAAATTTTAAAAAACATATTATAAACTGTAAATATTATACTTATTTATATCCCATTTAAATTAAATTAATTCAATTGTAATCACAATTTTATAGATTTTCCCTATTAATTATAAAAAATAGTTATTTTGATGAGGTGTTGTTATGACAGCAATGGGTCAAAAGGTTAACCGAATTAATCGTGATCAAAAGTTAAGGTCAGATATTTTTAACCCTGAGGGTCAAAAGTCAAGAATATTTTTGACATTTGCCAACACTACCTTTGTGGTCAAATATCCACCATAAGACCAGCCCCATATGGCTATGGATTTAAAATCGACATAGGGCACTTTATCACGAAAATAACTAATACAATACAAATAAAACTATTAAAACTAATGTTTGCAAATAATGGTCGGAGCGGTACAAACCGGGCCACAGCTATAGTGTCCTCGACCTCAACGGTTCCCAATCGGCGATAGATTTCAAACATGAATTCCTGGCCGCGATTGGGGGCACCTCTGCTGTCCAGATAGGCATAAATGACACTTTTATTTAAGACTAAATAAGCGCCGAATTGATTGTAAAAGTATTTGTGCGAAACTGATTCGCTCTCAGCTCCGGGTCCGCCGTAAACGTTGAAAACTAATGGATATTTTCGTTTTGATTCGCTATCGAAATATTGCGGCACAAAAAGCTGTACATCAATCTCTGTTTGCGTAATATGTAGTCAATATATAACTAATTATTAATTAAACATGATTTTCCATAAGTAAACAATAAGTTACATACGATAGCGTCCGACCGGAACCTTCATGAAAATGGTTTTGGGAACCGATAAGTCTTTGAGTTTATTATTCAGGCGTTTATTGTCTTCGAGTGTATAGAGTAGGCGGTCGTCGACTGTCCGCCTGATCACCGATCGGGGAATATTAGGTCCTAAACAGTGATGGATATAATGTTTGGCCCCTTCGCTGAACGTGGCGTCAGAAACCAGACATGTCTTAGTCTTATCTGTGGTATATGTGTTGATAAGACACGTGTGACAGACGGGCTCTGCCTTCGCCGCCGCCAATGATTGGGTTAACGGAGCGCTCATTAAATGCTTTTCTCCCGGATTTGTAAAAAACGTTGCCGTAAAATATCTGCCAATTATATATGGCTATTGTTAGACAATTGTAAACCGAGTTTTGTTTTCTTACATTTTATCACTTTCTGTGTTTACGTTTAGTATATTTTTCACTTCAAATACACCGGACGTTAAAAATGATGGTTCGGCCGACTATTTGATTGACATAAGGATTGTATTTGTATTGCATTACAAGACTATTATTGAATGACTGACCGAAACGGACACTTTGGCGATATGTGGAAACACATCCCTTCCGTTGTCACTCATTTTGGGTACTTTTATAAGATATGACTCGCCGTCTGGTGTGACGACAGAAGCCGTGTGATAGTCTATCCATCCATTACTCGATTTTAGTTTGAAATTCTGTTTAAATTAAAACCAGTGATTAGTTTATCAATGAATTTGTGATAACAAATGATACTTTGATTTTACAGATATTGGCTCCCAATTGGCTCGACTACTATAACAGGTCATTACCGACACGTTTTGAGCACGGTTCATCCAATTCGCACAAACAACATGGTCATCGACCCACTTCAATGTCGTTATATAATGATCTCTATTAATAAATAATACAAATTCTACTAACTAAGTAACTATTTCAGTCAAACTAATTGAATACAAACCCGTAATCTGTGATATCTTTGGGTGGCTTTAAATGAGCGGTCAGTTTACCAATTGAGTCGTTATAATCACGCAATTGAGTCAAATCGATGCAATGAAGCGCAATGGTAGGATTGGGTCGGCCCACTTTAGGGTACCTAACCATCTCGATCTTAGGGTACTGATTATGATAACCATGAGCCAATTTAACTGTGCTATAGAATGGCCAGATCATTAAGTCGACAGCGCTGTCATCGATGGTGGTGTAGACCAACTTTGTTCCCACCGGTGATAACCAAAACAGTTTCGGCGAGTTTGCGTATATCTCTCGTCTGTACAGCCAATCGGGTATTCCGTTATATACATATCCATATCTATGTATAACCATATCTTTGCCCGTATTTGTAAGTCTTATCGGCGCTGCGTTTGCATCGGATTTATAATAAATGTCATTTTTGTAGACAAATATAATTTGCGATCCAATTGTTCCCCAATCGGCAAAAGTAATATACGTATCGTTTGGCCGTTGTGTGGGCACAAGTGCTGGCAATAAATTGCTTTATTTATATAAAATTATTCATTTTTATTTCTATCATTTTAATTGCCAATAATTTTAAATAAATTACTATTCGGTATATAATTTAGTAATATATATATCATAATGGAAGTTATGTTATATATTCTAAAACAAGTTAGGCCCTAATAAAGTTATGAATTTATCATGTATATAAATAATCTCTCTCTCTCTCTCTCTCTCACACACACACACACACACACACACACACACAAAATATGTAACAAACCTGTCATTAATTGAATAAATCCTATACTTTCCGACCGAACAATAGCTATAAACTAATTTAAACTCTTGTTTAAAGAGAAAATATTTGCGATCCGGAGATAATGAAAGTCCCTTTAGTCGTAAGCGTTGCTATTGTGACAAATGATTTAATTAATATTTTATCACTTATTAAACTCTCTTAATTAGAAGTAATGTAAATAACTGTGAATTAAATATTATGTAATCATTGAGTGAATGCATACTAACTATGGTTTTGTTTTGTATTATGATATCTGTTGTCAAAGTCAAGACATTAAAAATGCATAAATTGTTGTGAGAGTCGTAATGAAGTAATTCATTGTTGGAAATCCAGGTGCCATTAAAAAGACGGTAACTTAATTCACCCGACATATAGTCAGTGAATGTGATGCCCCGTTTGGATGACAACGCGCTTTCATTTTTCTCACTATCGATGATCTCGTCGTAAAATATAGCGAACGCCACAAACGCTATACTTATGGCCATTAATGCGATCAACAATAGGACACCCAAATAGCGGCTCAGCCGACACTTTCTCTGTATAGAAATTGATACTAAAATTTATTTTGTAGTTGTAATAAATTGTAATTTAATTGCTAAAAGAATTATCCTAAATGTAAGAAATTATACTAAATGTAAATAATTATCTCCATTATAATGGCATATTAAAACAATCAGTATATAAGTTGTGAATCAAATGTGATTAAAATGAGACAATAAGACAGTTAATGGTGGTGTGAGGGCTCACCATTTGGTGTCGGCAGAGGTGTGTTTTAGTCAATCCGTTGGCGTTTTCATTGCCGGTGTTGTCAACGGAATCCTTATTGTTATTCAGGCCATGAGTGCGGTTCACATTTGGACTGCCAGTGAACGAAATGGTCGCCAGATTTGACACTTCATTCAAATTCTCATTTATAACACTATTTCTGTTATCAAATGATTTCATATTTTTACATAATTAATTAATTATCTACTTTTGCACTATTTTTTAATAAATAGTTAATAATTTAAAAAAATATTTTTGTATTACTCGCGACACCTGTCATAACGAAAGCATTTTATTGCATGAAATTCAACACATTAAATATTAGATACTTTTTAAAGTTATATTTACAATGAATATAAAGATATACAGTCCTTAACACAATGCTATAATAATTACAAAATACTAGATTAGTTTTATAATGTTATAAAGGTTTATAATACCCCCTCTTAATGGTTACCCCATTTGTCATACGTGACGGATATTTGAGCCTTCAATACCTGTCACTACCGGTGACTACTTGTCCCGCACTATACACCCATATCGGCTCAAATAGCCTGACATTCTCTACGATCCTTATCCCAGTGCCTGAGCGCCGGCCGGAGTCACAGATAGATAGAGATAGTAATAGAGGATAGAAAGTGAAAAGTAGATCACTTTCTAAGAGTCAAATCGGTATTTGTTTTCCTGTGTCTTAACGGCAGTAAAAATTCAGTGGAAAGTGAATTATATATCAGCAAAAAAATACATTTACACCACAAATATACGGCTCATGTTTATCACAAACAGTAAGTGATGGCAATGAGAGACTGCCGGTGCCGGAGATGCATGTGTGAGATGTATGCATACATTTTTTACCAGATTAATTAATTGTTAACTAAAAGTTAATTATTATTGTATTTTATGTAATCAATCAAATTAAGGCTGCACATACAACTATTTTAAAAGATTAGATTCTAATTAGAATGAAACATTTAAAATTAAACAATGAAAACAAAAACAAGTTTTATTTTAAAAGTTTAAAAACCGTTTATACATAAAGTTTATATTAGTTTTATAGAATCTGTTATTAAATACACTAGCATAAAAATAAATTTAGTATTGTTTAAATTAAACCTTACATTATTGTGTTTCTCAATTATCAAAATATTTGTTTAAATGTGTAACAACATATTTTAATAAAAAATATTTGATCCATGTCATTATCGTTTTCCATGATTAATTAGAACGTCGGGATTGGGCTCTGGATTAGACTCTGGATTCGGGTCAGCGTTCGGGTCAGCGTTCGGGTCAGCGTTCGGGTCAGCGTTCGGGTCAGCGTACGGCTCGGGTTCGGGTTCAGCTAATAAGGTATTCGCAAAAATAATTTTGTAAATGTCCATTATATTAGTAATGATACATACCAATTGGATCGGCCATCACCGTATAAGTCGTGATGGTCAACACGGCTATAATTACTAAAATTTGTGCCGAACGCATTTTTTAGTTATTGTTATTCTTATGTTTAACAATTTATAACTGCAAAGTAGTTTTGTAGCCGTTCTTATATAGGCAAATAAGTAGTGGGGTTCCCAGGTGCAAACTACGACCACGCGCTATGGGTTGGACTAAACTATTACAGTAATTATTTGGCAATAATAAAGTCCTATCAATTTCACTTAATATTTCATAATAATTTTTGGTGGAAAATTTTTATAATTATTTTTTAATCAAATAACTAGTGAAGATGAGTCCGGATGGTTTAGTTTGAGACTAAACCACATAAGGTATGTACAGTAGACGTCATGATAACTGTTGTTAATTATGAAATATTTCTATTAATTAAATATTTAATTGGATTATTGCTTAATAGTGTTGTTTGTGACGGAAATGTATGGTAAGAATATTGTAACGTCAGGAGAGTTATGTTAGCATAATTAATACATGTTTATTTTGTTATGAACACAGTTCGGTACTTGGTCGCCACTCACCGACACTCGTTGCTGATACATGTTGTGGTGAGCGTGATGTAATGAAGTTACGCCTTGTCCACTCACTACATGTATTGAACGACGGGAATGCATCGACCAAGGCCTGTAGAACACACATACTATCACTATGTGTGAATACTATTCTGTATGGTATGTGTAGTATAGGGTGGAGATTAATCAACTATACAAAAGTAAACTCGAATATCTCGAAAGGTATAAGTATTTTGATATATCATTTGAATTTCTAGACCGAATACCTTTCGAGATATTCGAGTTTACTTTTGTATAGTTGATTAATCTCCACCCTGTACTTATACCTCTTTAGTTAAGATCACGTACAGACATTATAGGTTCAGCTTTTGACCTTAATTACCTACACCTAGAGTCTCTCTGAATGTCATTAGACACCCTGCATACATAATATAAACTCACAGCATTCCCTGTATTGAGAATCCCATTAAAATACCAGTTATAATAATAATAATAATTATAGTCCCGACCAATAAACATTATTGTAAACGCTTATGCACTTGTAAACCAACCAATGGCTAGTATATGCCTACGCGTTGACTGTCCACAGCTACCGCTATATAACCGGCCCTCTAACCTGTATTTAGAGACTTCTTTTTGGGGACTTTAGATTGTACTCTTGTTGTGAACAGACGTGTCGAGTCGACTACTGTCGCCATTTTGTATCCTTTGTTTTATGTTATAAGCATCAATAAAAGACTTCACAGTCGCAAAGAGTTGTAAGTAATTCATTTGATTCGGGCCTCTAGTGCCCCTCTTTCTCTCCCACTCCTCTTCCCTCCCTCCCTTCCTCCCGTGCCGACATGCAAACCACCCGCCAATTAAGGCTCTGCGTGACGGACTTCGGTCCAGCGCCGCCCCGTCCTATGTGCGCCTCTGCCGCACACAATCACCCGCCTCTTATGGTTTCGCGTCGTAGAGGCGCAGGCCGGTCACAGCCGTGGCCGCCCTCGTCCATGTGATGACGACGACGGACGCCATTCGGTCGACTGTGGACTCGCCTCGTGATGGTCGCCGCCGTCGCCAACATCCGCGACAGTCTTCACCGCTCGAGACTCTATGCCACGCACCCGACCATACGAGGACTCAGACGAGATCAGTTGACCGGATGTCGGGATACGATGCCGCACCCAGACCCGGACTCGGACGACAAACTCTTATGTACGAGACGAAAAACTGCCGACGGAGCGCCTACCTCAAGACTGAAGGCCCCGTCGGGCAAAATGAATGCAAGTCGGACCGCGAGAGAGTGCCGCCGAACTCCCGTAATGCTTCAAAATGATGCTTAAGATCCTTATGTTAAGAATACATAAACCGTGTGTAAACCATTTCTGACGAGTGCATATTTGCATTGAAAAGCATTACAAGAATAGGTTATCTTAAACATGTGTAGATCAGGCATTTGTAAACCGATTTTAATAAACTCGGCTGTTTTCAATTAATTAAAAGTTGTACTTTATATGTGCGTACTTAGTATTTAAGTTTTCCTAAATATCTAGAATTTAAACCAAAATATTCTAACTTTGTTGAACAATTTATATTTTTCAATGTAATCCTATGGAAAAAGTTAACATAGTAATAAAATTACAGAAGAAAGTATGGTTATGTAAAATTAAATATTATGATGAATTAACAAATTACATATAATGATTAATCTGGTGATATAGTATGATCTAATTATGCTTACTGTTTCAAGAAATAGATAAGGTCACAAAATCAATAATATTTTAAATTTGATATTTTTACAATAAAATTATTCCTGATAGACCAAGGGATTATCAATTATTATATAAATTATACC